TTTAAAATTTCAAAGAACGCGTTCGATTCCTCATTCTGAAAAATTGTTTCTAAAAATAAAAAATTGAAAATCACGTTTGTATATAATGCTTTTTTCCGTTACAAAAATTAAAATACAACTACTAATAAATTGAGTTCACAAAAAAATAATATATAAATTAATGATGTGGAATAGAATTATAAAATGTGCTAGTGAATTATAAGATTGTAGCAACCATTTCATACTAAGTCGACTAATTTTTCACTCTTAAATACCGATAGAAAAAATACACACAGTTGGGAAATGAAAACAACAAAATAAATCTACAAAATCATGTATGAGTAGCTGAGTAATCATTGTAGCAATTTGATCCCTGACTTGTCCATTAGAGCCATTTAACTAACACCGAATTGTACTACTTCTTGATCTTCACTTGACTCAAGCACATCATCAAGTACTATATTCTTTGATGAATATTGAGCGAAAAGACATTCCAACGCGTGCTCTTGACGAATTATGTATTGTTCAACATGGATTTGTCTTTGCCTACTGTAGACAATATAAACTTTGTGTAAAATTAATATAAACCAGTAGCAGCAGCATTACTGAACCTAGTATAAAGCCAACTATTTGTCAATTCAGGTTCCTTCTGCATATCACTACCTGAGTTCTTATAGGCAATCTATCTATGGATTGATCATTTACTACGTCCTTATTATTTTGTATGGTGCCTTGAAGCAGAGGCGGACGCAAAGTTTTAAAGTTAGGGGGCACAATCGAACTGACAAAAAAAGTTGGGAGAAATTTTACAATCGAAAATTTACGTCCAAAAAAATCATACCCCTTATAATTTTGTATCCGAAAATTTACATGTGATATAATTTTTTCAGATGTAAAATTTTGAAAATTTTTAATGTTATATTCCATATAAAATTTCCTAATAAAATGATGAAAATTACATTGAGAAATTTGTATCGCAAAAATAATAAATGTTAATAAAATAATTGAATTTTTTTTAAAAAAAAATACGAGTTAGACGTCTTTATTTAAGA